AGTCGCTTTTTGAACCTCGGAGAAGCGGTCAACGATGCCCGTGACGGCGGATCCGAAGAGCCCGGTAGGGGAAATAGGCGCGTTGAGGAACACGGCACGTTCTGACTCTCCCATGTCGGTAAGCGTGAGCCATAAGTGTCTCTCGGCGACACAGAGGGCGGCCATGCATCTCCCTAGAGCTTGTGCGGCGGCTTTAGTGGCGCGAAGGGAAGATCCGTAGCGCTTCTCAGATCCGAAAGGACGGGCGGTTGCCTCCCGCTGCTCGCCATTTCACACAAGATGTCGCTCTGGAGCACCTGGAGGACAGACATCGAATGCAGCGCTGAAGCGGCCTGACCGGCGGCGGAATAGGCGCGGGCATGAAAGTTAGAGGTCGCTCTGCACGCTTTAGAGGGAAGCGTATGAGCAGACCGCCATCTAGCAGAGGGCGGGCAGAGATGAGCGGCGACCGAGTCCTCGACGGGCGGCATGGCAGTATAACCCTTCTCGGCAGCTCCGTCCACTGAGCGCAGCGAAGCGGACACATCAGAGCGATTACGAGCCGAGAGAGGAGCATTCCAGGACTTCGTGAGCTCGCTGTGAAGCTCAGGCAGGAAGGGTGCAGCCCGGCTGCAGGCGGGGGCCGGACGCCGGTGCAGGAACTTTCCATCCATGCGGTTCGGTGGTTGCTCAGGGGGAGGAGACCACTCGAGACCCAGGCGGCTAACGGCCTGAGAAAGGAGGCGCGTTAGTTCCTCCTCGATGCCGGCGCGGGTCCCCGCAGACTCTCTCGTCGATGAGCCGATCGACGACCAATCCTCGCTGTCCGAAGCGTGCAGCGAACAAGAGTCCTTCTAATCCGCGGTGTCCTCGGAGGCGACAGAGCGGCCACTCGGCGGCAACTGTAAGTCCGGCAGGGGCGGAGAGGGAGAGCGGTCGGTGGGCGGCGGCGGCGGCCCACATGGATCCGCAGAGGGCTCCGGCGGCCTCTGGGAGCGGCGTTTCTTCTTCCGCGGCGAAGTTAGAGGCGGCGCTGGAGCGGTTTTGACCGCCTGTAGTCGAGCCCGCAGGGTTGACAGCGGCAGGTCCTCGCAGTGGTCGCATCCTCCGTTGGCGAGGGCGAGTTCTGCGTGTTCCACTCCGAGGCAGAGAGCGCAGATGGGGTGGCGGTCTCCATCCTCGAGCGGAGAGCGGCAAGAGCCGCAGGAATTACGAGGCATCTTGAAAAAGACGCTCGTGCTCTTTTAGCAGGAATAATCAAAGAAAGGATACGCGTCGGATGGCGCTAGCTTGCTGGGCGGCTGAAGGTGGCAGACGGCCGGCTTCCTCAGACTCCGGAGCTCGCTAGACGGTGCCTTCTCAACGACGGCGGCTTCTTCCCAGAACAGCGGATGCGTGTAGCTCGCTGAATGAACAAGAATCAACGAACGAGCTGGGAGAGCGACCTTTATACACTGTAGCCACGCCCCTTTTGGCGGGCTGTGACGCAGTAAGCGAGCGCCGTCCGCTCATTGGCCGCGGACTCAGCGCCGCTCTCCCATAGGTTCGTGCATTCTCTCTGAGCGAACCAATGAGCCGCTAGCTAGCCCGCTCATGGTCTGCCTCAGAAGAGACTGCGTTGACAATGATTACAAAATTATGGAATAATTTTTTGGCTTCAACTTCTCAGCAAAGATGAATCTTTCCCGTAGCGTAAGCTAGCTTACGCAATACGAGAGAACCTCTCGTAAGAGAACCAAAGTTTTTTTTAAGGTGATGCATTATCGTTCAGGAACCGGTATTGAAAATTTTTGAACGATATCCAGCCCTATTCATTCCTGATTTCTAACACACACTCGGCTGGTCTTGTTATGTGGTATGTTTTTTTCAGTTTCATTTTTATCTTATTTAATAGGGACAAAGCATGTTAATGAACATAAGTACAAAGTACAAAGCGTAAACAAGCCGGATTATAGCAATATTGCTAATTTACGTCCGTAGTCCCTAGGCAGGTACACACAATAACAGACACTCAGTACAAGACTCCACTAAAACACAATACATAAAAAAACACATAATAAATTACTAAGAAAAATGTTTACACAGTTGATTCTTCATAAGCCACTTCTTAAGATGTTTCTTAAAGGAGTGATAAGAAGAACATTGTCGTATTGACTGTGGCAAACTATTAAAATATTTACTCCCCATCACTGATAAGACTTTCTGGCCAAAAGATGTTCGCCTATTTGGTACTTCCCACCCAGTCCCCTCTATTGACAGACCTGGTACAAATACCACAATCTATCCTCTGTTTAATAAACTCCTTCAATGGTGGTGGTGCAAGGCCATGCCAGACTTTATAAACAAAGCATGCATAATTAAATTTTTTTACATTTTCAGAACTCAATAGATTATGCTTTTTATTTATTTTATTTTATATTATTTGGTGGAATGAGAGGGGTTATTTATCAAACACTTTTATTGCCTTCTTATACAGTGTTTCTATTGGCTTAAGTATTGAGTTATTCTTAAATGACCAATACTGAAACAATACTGCATATGTGAAAAAATCATTGAATATAAATACAACCTCGCAGCACCAACTGTCAAGAAGGGCCTGATATACCTAAAATTATTTAAATTAAATTTAACAATATTGGACAACTTTTTTACATGGCTTTTAAAAGTAAGAGTAGAATCTAGAGTGACTCCAAGATACGTAAACTCCTTCACAACTTCTATTTCCTCTCCCCCTAGAAATACATTTGAGTGCGTCATCTCTACAAATCGTTTTGAGAACATCATACACACAGTTTTTTTTTTTTTGTGTTCAATATTAAACCTTTCCTGATAAGCCAATCCTGTACATTAGTCATAGCAGAAGATAAAATGATCGAAGCTTTTTCAAAATTCTTTGCATGGGTATAAATAACTACATCATCTGCATATAACTGAATGTGTACATCTTTACATACTTCAGGCAAATCATTTATGTAAAGTGAAAATAAAATAGGTCCTAAAATAGAACCTTGTGGAACCCCCTTGGGGCAAGCAATATAGGGAGATTAATATCGATCAATACATACATATTGCTTCCTATTTGAAAGATAAGATTTTACCCAGAGTATTGCTTCCTCTGAGAAATTAAAATTTGTTAGTTTAGATAAAAGCACCTGATGGTCAACGGTGTCGAAAGATACAGATCTAAAAATACAGCACCCACACACGCATTTTTATCTAGTAAGGATTTCACTCATTCACTCACAGCATTTCACAAACAGTTTGCCGAGTCTGTTGAGTAATTTCTACGGAAACCAAATTGCATTGGATGTAAAGAATTAATACCCTTATGCAGATGATTAGTCAAGAGATTTGATTCCCATTTTTCTTTTACCTTATATATAATGGGAAGAATGCTAATTGGCCTATAATTTTTCAAATTTAGTTTATCTCCAGATTTGTAGATTGGGACAACTGTAGCCATCTTTCAAGCAGATGGAACAACTGCTTGTTTGAAAGACAGGTTTATGTGTGTTATTGGGGATACTAAAGAATCTTTATTTGTTTTTAAAAATGTTGTATCAAGCCCATCCGCATCCTTTGCTTTGGAGCTTTTTAAAGCATCAATAATCTTTACTACTTCTAACTCAGTTATTTCATCTATTTGAAAAATCGGTTGATCAATTTGTATCGGTCTATATGTAATATCTTTTACAATAAAATGCTGGGTTAATTCATCCACTGAATTTCTAAAATGTGAATTAAAATTTGTGGCTATAGATAAAGAGTCTTTTACTAATATACTATTAATTTTAAGTTCAAATTGTTTTACATTATTATTTTGTTTACCAGTTAATTTATTAATATTTTGCCATTTTTTCCCTTTTGACCCCTCAATAAAACTCGCTTTAGCCTTAAAATAAAAAAACTTGCTTGAGCCTTTCGTAAGGTCTGAATTACTTTATTCCTCATAGAGGTGTATTTATATCGATCAGTTAAGCGACCCGACTTAAGTGATTTTTTAAGAGACAGATCTCTCTCCTTTATCAATTTCCTACATTCATTATTAACCCTAGGTAATGCAATCTCTTTTATTTTTGTTCGCCGTCCCCTTCTAGTAAACAATTCAAACACCTCTTTAACCTTTTCCAGAAAATAATTCGAACCTCTCTCTAATTTTTTACTTTTTCCGCCATCTCCTTTCGTGTTCATATGTAAATTGTGCAAGCTTATTTCTCAATCTATTAGATCGAAAGATCCATAGACTGTATAAAATATGGAAAAATCGTCTGTGACGTCACCCATAGACTCTCTGAAGAACGGGTTTGAAGCTGTTTATGGGGGTTATGGGCGGCGCCATACTGGAAAATCTTGGAAAATAAAAAATACAAAAGTTTCAGAAAGGATACAGAGGTGGTATGATGTGTTGTGTCAGATCATGGCCGAGACGTCAAATTCACTCGGCGCGGCCCGTTATCAGCTGTCAATCAAAGTTAACCGCCCTTATTTGTCATACGTTTTATATCTAAATATGATCTAAACTAACGAGTTAGAAAAAAACTCACCCCCTCACAGTTGTCAGGCGCGCGGTGCATATTGAAGATTACAATAAAAGTCCATGGGACCAAACTGTAAACATATGAATTTATGCTGTGAAAACGGACATTATAACATGACGCCTATGGATATTTGCTCCCTTTTAGGACCAGCCTCTAGCGGATTTGAGATGTATTGCAGTTTATCGCACTTCCGGGTAGGCTTCATCTTTCAGATTAGAATGTTGCCGCTTGGAAAAATCCCATACATTTACCCACCCATAGAAATCAAGATAGAAGTGGCTGAAAGTGGTCAAAAGAGACAGATTAAAATACCAGGAATGTGTCTCCCTCATCTCCTTGTGATCCGATCGACCAAAACGCATCTTAATACCAGGTGTAAACAGGGCCTAATGTTAATGATTCAACTTCAAACTCGTTTTGAATTGCAAAAGTCACTCTGCACATTGCAGCCAGTGTTGATTGTTCTGTTTCTCTCTTTCATAGGTCAGAGGTAAAATGGGAGGGAAGCTGAGCAAAAAGAAGAAGGGATACAATGTGAACGACGAGAAAGCAAAGGAGAAGGACGCAAAGACGGAGGGAGCGTCGGCGGACGAGAGCGAAGCTCCCAAGGAGAACAAGGAGGATGCTCCTGCTGCCACCGAGACGACCAATGACACGGCGGCAGCCGCCAAAGAAGCCGCACCTGCTGCCGAAAGCAATTCCACCGCAGCCAAGGAGGAGGAGAAAAGCGCCGCCCCTCCAAAGAAGGAGGAGCCAGCGGCAAACGCTAACGCTCCTAAAGCCTCTGACGGTAAGACCAGCGAGACTGCTAAAGCAGAACCCGCCAAAAGTCCAGATGCCCCTCCTGCCAAAGCGGAAGAAAAATCCACCCCTTCTGCAGCTCCGGCAAGTGAGAAAGAGGCTGCAAAAGAGCCCGCCCCTGCCGCTAAAGATCCCGCCCCTCCTGTAGCCACAATGACGGAGAGCAAGCCCGACACTGAGTCTAAAAAGACTGAGGCTCCGCCCGCAAAGGAATCTGCCCCCGCAGAGCCAGTCGCCACGGAGACCAGCCCCGCCCCCAACAAGGAGCAAGCAGTCGCTGTGCAGGATTAACAGATGGAGCATTGAACGACAAGATTAATGACAAATGAAAAACGAAATCAAATCTAAATAATAAAACTAGCCCCGCCCATTTTAAATTATATCAGTAATTATAAAATGAATAATGATAATAGTAACAATAACAGTAATGATTTTAACAGGCTGGACTTTGATCATTGTGTTGGCGATGGACATGATCATGGTGAATAAGACTGGCAGTTATGATGATATTATCTTTAATATCCAATTGAACTTTGATACAAACCACCAGCCCCCCAACTTCTTCTCTCTTTCTCTTTCTTTCTACCTCCATTCAATGAGGGGTGAAAAAAAAAACATGGAATATATTCATTGCCACCCTCCAATTCTCACTTCCCTCCATTTGAGTGTGATGTTATGGCAGTGGGAGGGGTTATTATATGTGTGTGAGTGTGTGTGTGTGTGTGTGTGTGTGTGTGTGCGCGTGAGTGGTAGTAGTAGTAGTCCAGCCTCCCTGATGCATACTTCATATTTCCTGTTTGCTGCTTTCTAGTTAGTGATTGGCATTGTGTCTTTGCTTATCCCCTGACTTTCCTACTTTCTTTGTTTCTCTCTCTCTTTTTCTCACATATCAGTGAAAACAAAATCAGTGTACAGCACAATGCATCAAACACACACATACACACACGCACGTTATTGAATGTTAGCAGTATTAATGGTTTTTAAAGGAACAGTTCACCCAAAAATGCCAATTTGGCCATGTCTTTATAAACCTGTACGATTTTTTTGTCACCCGCAGAATGTGAAAGGAGAAATATAGCTGAAAAGAGCTGCTCTTTTCTATGCATAAGTGAATGGGGACTACATCTGTCAAGGCAGATTTTCAATGCAAGATTATGAGTAAAGAATTATTTAAATTTCAAAGACTTGGAATATAGTGCATGGACTACTTTTGTGATGCTTTTATGGTGCTATTTTGTCCTTTTTGGAGCTCCACAGTCTTTGGACCCCGTCCACTTTTACTGTATAGAAAAGAGCAGCATGAACATTCTTCAAAATGGTTACTTTTGGGTTACACAGATGAAAGAAAGTCATACAGGTTTGGAATAACACAAGGATGAGTAAATGATGTTATGTTATATATTTTAAGGTGAACTATTCCTTTATTTGGTTGTTTGAAGGTTCAATTCAAGTGTGTACGTGTGTGTGGAAGGATCCAGGGTTTTATGTGAGTGTACATATGGAGTTTTGCATGGTATGGGCATGCATTTTCTGCATGTGTGTGTGTGTGTGTGTGCGCGTGCGTTAATTGAGTTCTGGTCTTTCTGTACTTTGAAAGCAGCAGTTGTCATGATGTCAGAGAGACAGAGAGAGAGACAGACCTCCAAACTCACCAAACAGGACACACTTCACACACAGATCTCTCAATATACTGACAGAACAATGTGAGCGTTGTGTGTTTCTATATGTGTGAGGCTGTGTGTGTGTGTTTTGCATGTCAGTGGTTGGCCCTATTGTGTATTTTTGGTTGCTGTGGAGATAATGTTGCTACAGGTGATATTTCATTTGAATTAGCACACACTCTCTCTCTCTCTTTCTCTCTGTTCCTTTCTCTATCATTCCTTTTCTTTCCAAAATTCCCTGGTTAAATAAAAAAAAAATTCAAATAAAATGGAAGAACTGAGATATATGTACTTGTATACATGGAGCAACATTAATAAAATGAAAGAAACAGATTGAAAATCAGCTCACACGTCTTGATTTTCTGTTTTCATGGATAAATTCAGTTTTTATGTTTCTCCCCAACACACATTTTTAATCTATTTTTTAATGCTTAAGAGACAGTGACAGTTCAAACAAACCAAAACTTCTGAACTTGCATCTTGAAAAAAAGAAGACTAGTCTAATTTTATCTGCAAATCTAAACTGTTATATAAGCTGTCAGTACAATAGAGGCACAAAAGACACGTCTGAAGTAGCATATATACCCAAATGATCCACATGAGATTACACACAAAGAAATGTTGATTTTCATGTTCAGCTAATCACTAACTGAAACTGCACAAGCTACTAATAATTTACTATTAATCATTATTATGAGCTGGTCGCATTCAAGCGCTTTGTTGCTGGAAATTGGACAAGGAATCATGGAGGACACCAGGTTTATTCTTGCCTGTTTATCGGGAAAATATTATTAAATCCAAAATTTAGTGACCTGTTTAGACATTTAGAGACCCGTTCATTGACAATCACATGCAGTAATAACTCACTGCACCATCGAGTTAGTCAACTTGCTGATAATTTAGGAATGTCAAATACAGGCTATTTTCAAAGTGCACAATATTAATTGTGTAACTAATTATTTATATAGCACTTTTAAAGCTTCTTAGCACAAAGGGCCTCACACATGACAAAAAGGCATGGGGAGCATTGCAAAATATAAAACCAGAAACATAATTAGTTAAAAAAACTGAATCCAAATACTTCACAAAGTAGTAAAAAAACATTTATACAAATACGTTTTTAAAAGAGACTTAAAGACTTTTCCGATCTAATCTCCATTGGCAAACTAGTCCATAAAATTGGAGCCTTTTCACCTCTTTTATATCTAGAACAGCCAACAATCCATGATTTGAAGATCTGAGACGCCTGGCTGTTTCATTAAACGGATTGTTGCATTTAACAGTTAGTTGTGCTTGATTTACCTGTGATTGGATGGAAAATGCATGTTAATGTCACCATGAAATCAAAATTCACAAATCTTATTTTTTCACAGATCGTTACAGTGTTTATTATAAGTGAATTATCCATGCACATCTTTTTATTTTTTTCAATTCATGCGCACTTGTCATTTTTAATCAATTACGTTAGCCCACACTCATTCTAAAAGCTGTTTTACTTGGATAAACGTCACAATAGGGAAGAAAACACTATCGTAACTTCCATTTCCACTTTAATATCAGTCGTAAACAGCATCACTGATGTGCCTCAAAATGCTACAGTAAATAGTTTCAGTAACCACGAATGTTAGGATGTTCACTATAGAAGCAAAATGAGCACAGACAAAACAATTACTGTCTCTTATATATTTACTTACACACATAAAAAATATACTATTAAACTATAACTATAAAACCATTTATTAAATGTCTTTAAGGCCGCTAACGGAGGTGTCAGAAGACTCCTGAGCCGTGAGACAAGCCTCGGTTGTGCTACGATCATTCTAGTGAACCTGAATTCACCAAATAAAACGTGTTCAACATCCTTGTTGATCCTGGAACAACATTCAAATCAACCAATCAGATTTGAGGGACACAAGTTTCCAGTTTATGTCAAGTTTAGGCTTACAGCCAGTCTTCTTCTTATTCACATGTCATTTCCCTCTGATTTTTGGGATAAGTCAAAGGTAGGGTTAGGTTTAGGGATAGTATAGGGTTCGGGTGAAGTAATTTGGACAGGAATGTTGTTCCAGGATCAACAAAAGATGTTGATCGAGGAACATGTCTTGCCGCGGTCACACTAGACTTAAAGCATGCACAATTTCTTCAAACACAGCAATGGTTGTGATATGAGGTCACTTTTTTATAAACATGAATTCAACATATAACGAATAGTAAAAAATAAATAAAAAGTAAAAAATATACTCGACTATCGACTACTAAAAATATTCTTTTAATTCAGCCAAGAGGTCACGCCGTGATACCTATCTTCTACTGGTCACACGTCTTCACGTGATGCGAATTCGCCGGCCAGTTCACCAACTTTGAAGTAAAGCGAAATGCAAAACCAAAGCCACTTTAATGCAAGACTAGCCTCAAAGGTTAGCAAAAAAAAAAAATGTAAGGCCTGCTAGCGCTGCTGTACACAGGGAAGGAGACTAGAGGCTGTTTTTTAATGGATGTCAATGGAGGAGAGGCTTCACTACGCTGAATAAAATGCTTTTGTGGGAGATCCGCTAATCTTTTAATGAATCGACATCCTATCGGCTAATCTTCAACATGTTTGCTCTTAAACATCCATTTTGGATTGATCTATTTTTAAGAGTTTACACCCAAAAAAAGCAGTTTTATGAGTCATGGACAATTGTGTGTCAGGTAGGATTGAGTTTATGGCACTTCTCATTCATTTCAATGGTATCTGCAAACAGTGATCGACTGTCGCACAACTCTGAACAAAATGAACAAAATTCAATGACGTCAAGGCTCTAACTCGTATCTCACAATATAAGACCATGGAAACTTTTCACATTAGCTTGTGTTTGGCGCATTCACACGCGTATATGAACAGAAGTCAATGGAACAAAGTGTCATGTGACCCAACCTTTCCTTAGCAATAAAATGGCGAACAAAATTGTTGGTATCTTCAAAAACACAGGCTCTTTGAGTAATGACAATTAAAGGGATAGTTCACCCAATTTGTTTAATTCTGTCATTAATTACTCATCCTTATGTCGTTCGAAACCCGACTTTAGTTCATCTCCGGAACAAGATTTTTTAATGAAATCCGAAAGCTTTCTTGCAGAAACAAACCTTTTGCAGAAGCTCAAACGTGATGCGTTACACAAGATTGAACCTCATTGGTTCTCGCATGTCATGATGATGAATGTTCATATGTGAAAGCATCAAAGTGTCAACGGAGGGATCGAATTTTCTCAAGTTTCATCAAAAAGATCTATATTTGAGTTCCAAAAATGAACGAAAGTCTTATGAGTTTGGAACGACGAGGGTGAGTAATTAATAGCAGAATTTTCATTTTACATTTCAAACTATCTCTTTAAAGGGATACTCTACTTTTTTTTTGGAAATAGGCTCATTTCACAACTCCCCCAGAGTTAACCAGTTGAGTTTTACCGTTTTCGGATCCATTCAGCCGATTTTCGGATATTTAGAAGAATATCAGTAACCAGACAGTTTCTGGTCTCATTGACTTCCATTGTATATTTTTTTCCTACTATGGATGTCAATGAGACCAGCAACTGTCTGGTTACTGATATTCTTCTAAATATCAGAAAATCGGCTGAATGGATCCGAAAACGGTAACTGTTTAACTCTGGGGGAGTTGTAAAATGAGCCTATTTCCAAAAAAAAAAGTGGAGGATATATCCCTTTAATAGAGGATCACGCTGTCTGGGTTCATTTTTGTGCTATAGACCGGTTGCCATAATGTTTTTGATATAATATTTCACATATATCTTTTGTGTAGAATGAAAATTATTTTACTTTACTGAGCCAAAAGTAATATTTGTATTTTATCACACTTTAACCATAATGAATTCCCCTGATGGACACTCATGGCGTATGTTATTAGTTTATACATACGTTATTAGTTTGCTATGTTATGCGTTGTCTTGGTTGTTTTTGATTTATTAACAAAATATATAAACTGACAGTTTAATAAGCCACATTTTTTTAGAGGATTCAGAACTTAACCTGAATATAAATAAGGTTGTTTGTTTAAATATTCCAGGTCTTGTCTCCTTTTATCTCCCCGTATCTCTCTCTCTCTCTCTCTCTCTCTCTCTCTCTGTACTGTCTCCTCTCTGGGTTGACTGGGTTCATGTATGACTGCCTTTAGGCCTTAGTAACGGTCGCCAAGCCTCTGATCCCATAGCAACCGGTCACTTGGTTTTGTAAGGCAGAAGGAGAGGACACGCACACACTCTAACACACACATCAAACCAAATGTAACACTCCTACAATTCTGACGGATATCATTGCTGACTATGGCCTACACAGTTCTCTATCTGTTCCCTTCCATTTGGCGAATAACAAGTTCTGCAAACCCAAACCTGAATCCAAACCGCAGCTCTGTTTATAAAAATAGATTATTCGAGTTCCAGTGGTCCACCATCACAAAAAAATCCAGAAGCGATAACCATAAAAGAAAGGTTAAATTTCATCACTTCCCACATAGCATACACACACACACACACACATACGTGAATGAAACAGGCGCCAACATCAACATTAACACCTGATTGGGTATGGAGGTAACCATGGATACGGGTCTTGCCTAGCAACAGGCTCAAATGCAGTTGTAAACCCCGCCTACCTAAAGGAAGCTGAGAGCACACACATACCTGCACTTTCTCGCACACACATACCTGCACATGCTCGCACACACAGTCTCTCATTTGTCACTATCCACCCACCTCTTGTTTTTTCTTCCTGTTTACGCCCCCATGCTCCCCCCAGCCCGAATCAGCAGGGTCCCTGGAGGGAAAATTGCCGCCTGTCATTGGCTAACTGCATCTCCATGGTGATGCAGCTGCAGCTGTGGTCGTGCATGCGACAGAGAAACACAGTGTGTGTAAATCTCGTTCCAGCCAATAATGCTGTCAGATCTGTAAACTGAGATGAGAGTTCACTTCAGTCACCTGGGCAGGTGTGTTTTATTAATGCCAAACAAGGGACTACCAATATCCAGCAAGAAATGTCCCTAGCAATAATTTTGATCAAACAATTCAAATTTACATGTAACCATCCCATTGTTGGAATTTTAGACATATCTAAAATGGGTCACATCATTGAAACGACCTGAAGTTAAAGTAAATACACTAGAAAAATGCGCTCTTTTCAAGGGTGTGGATTTAAATCAGTGTAAGAACATAAGGTGGGCTAAGCGTTTAAAACATACATGCACAGTTCAGTTGATTGATAAGGTTTCATCATCACTTTAACGTTGTTAAAATTACTGTACTGAACTTTGTTTCATTCCCATTTTTAAAATGCCCCTATATCGAATATTACCTTTCAAGAGGTGTGTAATATAGCGGTTTGTGAATGTAAAAAGGTCGGCAAAGTTTTAAAGATCAAAACACACGACAAATAAAGTTAAGAAAGAATCGATTCTGAACTGCCGAAACGAATCAGAAATTCCATTTCCGCATGCTGTTACATACGTATCTACAATGTAAAAGACACAGTAGACGTAGCTGAAGCCTGGAAGAGTTTGGTTTGTGTTGTCGGCATGTTGAGAAGACGAAGAAGGCTTGAGAAGAAGGCTTTCCGTGCAGTCTTATCTAGTCATGACTCGAAAAAAGATTTGTTCGTTTTGATGAACGAGTTTGAGAGTCACGAACGCTCATCACAGAACAGAGCAAGGCGAGCATTTGAGCTTATAAAACTTAAACTTTTTTTTATTTATTTTTGAAACGAGAGATCGTTTCGCTATACAAGACCCTTATTCATCGTCTGGTGTCGTTTAATGCCCTTTGAAGCTGCACTGAAACTCTCATATGGACCTTGAACCGTTTGGTTCCCAATGAAGTCCATTATATGGAGAAAATTATGTGTAAGCGCCTCAATATAAACTTGATTTTTTACAATAATAAAAACAACTGATAAAAGCAAAATGAGAGACATTTAGTTTTTTGTGCTAATAAACATTTTTACTAACAAATGCTCTTGACTGAGCTTAAATGGATAGCCATAGTCAAAAAAACATTCCAAACCTGACTTTCTCCCTTCAGCAAAACACAAATTCTAAAGAATGTTATTTTCTCAAAATATCTTCTGTTGTTCCACAGAAGAAAGAAAGTAAAGCATGTTTGGAACAACAATAGGGAGAGTAAATGATGTTCTAATTTAACATAGTGGCCTGATTTAGAAAATTTCACCAATTTATCACATTACAGAATTTGAAATTGATTGACAGGTACAAAACCATTTTGCTTTTCTTAATGCTGCAATGGCGGTTAGACTTAATGTCATTTCATGAAGTTTTAGCATAAAGTAAACAAATTAAAGATGACAGTTTGACACATTTGTGCCTGGAGTACTAACAGAGAACTGCCTGATGTATAGCTGATGTAAGAGACCTCAGGAAGATGAAAGTCGCCTTGTGTGTTCAAATGAGGCAGAGCATGTGCATAGGTTGCTATGGCCAGGGGTGTAGAAATTATTTCTGAAAATGTCAGGACGAATATTAAAGTTGAAGAATCCCAAACCTCAATAGACTTGTGATCTCATAAGAAACTAATTAAAAACCTATTTATTTTTCATTATTATTAACATAATTATTTTATCACAATTAACATTATGTATCCATAGGTTTTGTCTATGTATAGATTTAGTTTTCTATACGTTTAATCTCTCAAATATCATTTGATCTTTCAAATATTAACACTCCAAACCAGCAGCATGTCTTGGTTATGGGTTAACCACAAATCTGTACAACTTTGTGGTGCTTTTTTGTCTATCTGCAGCTTATTATATGAAATTGTTAGTTAATCCAAAATTGTAAATTCAGTCATTAATAACTCATCATCATGTCTTTCATCTTCAGAACACAAATGAAGATCTTTTTAATGAAATCTGAGATCTTTCTGTCCCTCCATTGACAGCATACGCAACTACCACTTTCATGCCCCAGAAAGGTAGTAAAGACATCATTTAAGTAATCCAAATGACTTCTGTGGACGGTTTAACCTCAAGTTTATCAAGTGACAAGAGTGGTTTGTTCACGCAAAAAATTATTATATTAAAATTATTAATCTCCAAAGCACGTTGACTCTCTGCTCTCACGCCAGCACAACACGTAGCGTCGTGTTGCTGTTGTAAAACCAGTGTTGGAGATTTTTTTTGAAGATCTTACCATTTTGGAACGACATGACAGTGAGTAATTACTGTAATAACAGAATTTTCATTTTTGAGTGAACTAACGCTTAAATTCATTGTATAAAAAAGTTAAAAATATAAAAAATTCCATTTGAGTAGAGAGAAAGTCATACAGAGGAACAAAATGACGTTGAGTAAATTATGACAGAATTTTGTTATTCCTTGAACGACCCTGTGAACTTGATTTGACAAACAGTTTTCTGTCCTGTGATGACGCATTTCCTGTTGAAACAGGAAGTTTGAGCAGGACGTCAGTAGTGAACCTAATTCGCTAGTTGCTAGCTGGCCTTTAAATATAAAGATCATCTCCTGAAAAATCAGCCAGGCAGTTATGATGAACACCTTACCTACATTAAACATATCCTGTCAGTGGCTCATTCTAACATTATTTAAATATTCATAAGGCTTCATGCATAATAGACTACCTGAGTGGTGATCCAGTCTGTTGAGAGGCCGATGGGAACTCAGCTCCTCCCTCCTCCTATCACAGGAAATATGATAATGGATTCTGAATTTATGATTACAAATGCCATAAAGAATGATCAATATGGACTGCCATCTGCTGGAATACACACACACACACACATCCAAAACAGCTGCACATTGGTGGGGGAGGAGGTCTCACTGTTGTTGCCAAGCAACAGAAGATACACCATTCTCATAATTGTGACTGTATGTGAGCATTGAGCAATGAGAAAGAGAAAGAGTTGCACATAAAATGGCTATTTCTGTGTGAAATTTTGTTCCAAATTGTTTTCATTCTGCTTTCAGGTAACAAGTGAAGGTTGTGACAACTTACCCCATATAATGTGAGACATCCTTTTATTTATTTACTTTTAGCTTAGATGTTACTGTATACGTCTCAACAGAAATTGACTTTCAAAATAACAAAAAAAAAAAAACACCTTCTTTGAGAAAATACCAGAAGTAAAAAGTGGGACAACTATCTCCTCTCAACTTCCCTTATACATTCATATAATTTGAAATATTAATACAGATACAAATTCTCTACAGACATGTTGTGTGTCAACTACCCGTGTGTGAGCATCCAATGCTAAGAAAAAATCTGCAAACTGTTCACAGATGGCTTGTCAAGTAACAAACACATCATCATTCCACACACACACACACACACACACACACCCTACAGTGCCACAGCTGAGGTCGTATTTGTGCCAGTTTTCAGGCATTTTAACTCTCTGATCTTTGAACAATCAGTTCATACCCCCTTCTCTTTCTCTCTCCCTCGCTCTCTCCCATCTTTTCATTTCCTCTCTCTTACATGTACCACTTTGTCACTCTCAACATCAAAGCTTTGCACTGTTCACCATGGAAACTGCCTCCATTCAATTTTATTCGTCAGTTTAAAAAAAACAGTGCCGAGAATAACAACATCCTAGAGTGCGACAGGAGTGATGTGGTTATTAGCATATTAGCCCCGCCCACCCGTCAGAAATACAGGCGGGCGGAAGAAGCATATCCGACTGACAAGACGATGATCTGTTTACACCGACGTAGAGAGTGGGAAGAAGAAAAACGTGAAAAGTGAAATAAATCACTTTTGAAATTATGTGAATAATTAAAACAATAAAATATCAAATATATTATAATTTAATTTTGAATTAAAAACATGTTAAACTCTAATATTAATAGATAAATCACAGACACATGCATAAATATTCACTCACTGTTTTCCTTCAATCGTCTGATCTGACACTTAATGTTCAGCCAACATCGCCCTCTGCAGGACAGACTTGTACTTGCACCTGATCAGCTCTAAATAATTTAGTTATTAATCAGAGCTGATTTAGACAGGTGTTAATCATATAAGTGGGTAGGCTACATTGAGGCTGAAAATAAAAACTATTTCAGCTTTCTGTATAACTTCACTAAGCCCAAATGGTTTTTAAAAAAGAAGAAGCTAAAACATCTGCCAGCTTTGATTAAAAATTACACATACTTTCATCGGAAAATCCTTGACAATATTTGTTGTTCTCATTTGTAGATTGTTCGTGTTGGGCCATAATAATATTCTCCAACAACTTCATTGTTTATCTGTAAAAGCATTCTGTAGACTATCTGTGATAGAATATATCTGTAATAGAAATCTAGGTGTTGGTGCCTATTTATATGAAGGTAATTGAGCAAAGAATTTGGTATAACATACCTTCGACATTGGTTTCTTCTTGTAAACCTATAGTCAAAACAATAAGAGAGCATTCTATAATACATGTATGAAGCATTCACTTTATGTAGGGTTTCCCGTGTTTGAGAGTTTTCGACGCATACGGAAAAAAAAACACGATTTTGATTTGACCATCATGTAAAAAATATATAACAAAAATGACAGCAGTATAAACTGTTAAAGGCATAGTTCAATTTGAAATAAATGTTTTATATGTTTTAGCTTACCTCAAAGGCATCCAAGATGTCTTTGTTTTATAGTTTAAATGTTGATATTTTTAGGTCAATTCGTTTTTGTCTGTCAGTCATATAATGCAGGTCTGGACACCACCTCAAAGAACATGCACAGAGAAGTCCAAATTAAACATTTGCACAGACCAAAGCACCCACACCGTGACCCTCAGATCACTTGGACATTGCTGTGGTTCAAGAGATAAAAACGATATAAATACTGTTCGTTTTCTCATACAAAGCGCTCGTTTCGTGTCTTACGCCATCAATGTGTAGCTACTTACATTTACGAGTCATTAAATCATGTTTAATTTGGATTTCTCTGTGCATGCTCTTTGAGGTGGTGACCATAGACCTGCATTATATGACTGACAGACAAGAACGGTTTGACCTAAAAATATATCAAAATTGAAACTAATGCTGGAAACAAAGACACCTACATCTTGGATGCCATTGAGGTAAGCTAAAACATAACAAACATTTATTTCAAAGTGAACTATCCCTTTAAAGGTCAGTTATATGTGTATACTTATAACAGGGTTGCCAACTTTTGAGTTTAAGCTGGTATTAGGCTAATATTTCAGTGCATTATAAATATCACTATACATTACAATAATATTAATACTATGATATTAATATTACTGCACTGCAGTATAAAAATAGTATAATGTCAACAACTGATTTGTAGCCTATATAATTAGCCTAATACAAGACACTTTTATATATTTTAGAGATATAAGTACAAATTGAATGAGTACTGTAATATAGAGCCTATATTTATCAAAATACTTCTCTCTACAGTTATTTTTTCTTGCTAGCTATGCTATTGTCATAG